ATGGTGTGAGGTCAGAAAATGCAGGTGTCCAAAGAGACCTGAGTGACATCCTTCATGAATCATATAAGGTTAACATACAGGTACAGGAAATGATTAGGAAGGCAAATGGTATGCTGCCATTCATCACAAGTAGATTTGAGCACGGGAATGGAGATGTCTCACTGTGGTTGTATAGAGACCTCACCTGGAGTACAGTGTACAGTTTTGGTCCCTTATCTGAGGAGGTTTATATTTATCACATAGAAGTGCAACAGAAGCTCACCAGATTAATCACTGGGATGGCAGGATTGACTTACAAGAAGAGATTGAGGAGACTAGGTCTGTATTCACTACAATTTCAAAGAATAACTGGTGACCTCGTTGAAACTTATAAAGTTCTTACAGGGTGCAGTGAGGTGGATGTTTATAGGATCTTTCCCCTGGCCAGTGAGTCGAGGACCAGGGAATGTGATTTCAGGTTAAGAGCTTGGCCAGTTACGACTGATATAGAGAAATTTCTTCACTGGTGAATAATTAGAATTGTCTACTCCAGGGGGCTGTGGAAACTCGGTCACTGAGCAGGTCCAAGACAGAAATCAATCAGTTTCTGGAGTTTTGTGACATCGAGGGATATGGAGATAGTGTGGGTAAGTGGCTTTGAGGAAATGATCAGGAATGCTCTAGTTGAAAGGTAAAGCAGGCCTATTGGGTTAAATGGCTGTTCATACATTCCTAACATTTAAAAACATGAACAATTCGCAACATTTTAAGCCATTTCTAGATTATCCCAAGGGCCCTCACAGCAGTTGCATCCCAAATAATTTACCTAGCATGTTCCAGCAATCCACTTGATCCACTTGCCCTGGCAAATTCCACAAATGCAGGAAGAGGGTTGTTAGCCAATAATGAAGCCAAGAAAAAGTTCATCCCTGAGAATACCTCCCAATCTTCAACACATGCCTGCAACATACTGTTTAAAAAATGAAATGCTCACATAAAACAGTCAGAAACATCCTGAAAAGTTCCTAGAAGAAAGTTAAAATATATGAAAAGCTGCAACGTCACATTTTATTTTTATATATATTTTCTTTAGAAACAATATTATAATAATTTTCAGATTATCTGAAAATGAGATACTTAAACTGTGAACTCATCTTAAATCTTTTGTCGTCAAATGTCACAATGCAGCTGACAGTAACAAAAAAACACAGCTGATTGAACTGTATTTTGTTGTCAAATGTGTGCAGTTTGTTGGCATGCACATATGTCTTGTTGTTTAACATATGTACGTTTTGTTGTGCATTTTTTTTGATGCTGTGTGTGCATTCTGTCGATACACACTTGCATTTTGCTGGTTTGCACGTGCATTTTGTTGTGGTGCAAGCATTGTGTTGTGCATGTGTGTCTATTATGTCAGTGCATGCATGTTGTGTACTTGTGTACTGGTGTCTGTCACTAGAACTAAACACAGACATAATCATTCATCAACAGTACATGTTCCATCTTCCATATGTTAAACAGGCTTTGCTTCATTCAATAAAGGTTAGTCCGAGTCAGCAATCTTCACTTAATCACAACAGCTCAGCAATATCGTAAATCAAGACGCATTTCACTCCTAAGACTATAGTGAATTTGCTTTGTCCCTCTCGGCAGTAGGGGTGTTAAGGATAGTCTCTGAGCCTCTGGTTCAGGAAGATTAGGCAGCATTTCCACGCGTGTTAGACATGTCAAGTGTGGCGATCAAATGAAGCTATAGAAAAGGTTTGAAATAGAAGGCCCCACTTTCAATCCCCAATCCTTGGCAAGTCTTGTAATAGTGGGCATTATAATATGTCTCAGCCCTTTTGGTTAGTGACTGACAGGTTTTGGAATCAACCAGGCTTCCTGCCCCTTGGCATCATTCAACAATTCTGTTGGAACTTGCCAATGTCAGACAAGGTCAGTATTGGAATTTAACTCACTCAGAGATAATAAGAACTGCTAATGCTGGAGTCAGAATAACACAGTGTGGAGCTGGAGGAACACAGCGGGCCAGGCAGCATCAGAGGAGCAGGAAAGTTGATGTTTCGGGTCGGGACCCTTCTTCAGAAAAATATTGGGATTTGTTGTTATCTTTGTCCAGTTATGTCTTGAATAGTGAAATAGATGTGATAGTCAGGGATGTGGTGTTCAATAAGGGAAGGGGTGTACAGGTGGGTGCAATTTTGAGTGGGGGTGAGAAGTTGTGGCAAGCATAATCAGGAGCTGCAAGGATTTGACAAAACTCCTTTTATTACAAGATGTTTACTTGGATCACTGAAAATTACAAACACAATGATGTGTAAGTTATTTCAAGTAATTTAGAAATAAAGATGTCTAGACCCTTCATAAGCTTTTAAACTCGCCCTTTGTCTTGGAGAAAAGAAAAGGAAGATGAAAGACTCAATGCTGCATCATGAGAATGGTTATTTTCTGAAAGTCCGTAGGCTTGTAAACTTATTTATATTATACATTACTCATCCATCCTTCCATTGGATTAGTGCAAAATAATTTCCTTTGGCCAGCACACTGCACTGACTTAGAAAGGCCATTGAATTGCCATGACATATTCCTACTGCAAAGCACTGGATAAGTCATGCAATTTGGGAATTCATGACTGCTATATTTACATTGTCAAGTAACTTGCTGGTACTTAATTTAGAAGTAACAAATAATCTTAATACAATTTTTACATATTGTTCTTACAAAATAGAAAAACTACATGTTCACATCTAAAGATAGGAGTTTCCGATGATGTCATTGAGAATTAGGTCAGTAATTCAGGCTTCTCAACCAGACCTTACGATGACGTAACTGACTCTCAGCTTTCAACCAGAAAAGACAAGATGCCAGGCAAACCTAATGGACTGGTAACAGGTTAGACTGTAGAACTAACCACACTGTTAACAGCATAAAAATAGAGAAGGCTTGCACTTACACAGCATCTTTCACAACCCCAAGATATTGCAAACTAGTTTACAGTCAACAGAGTACATTTCTTGTGTACTCACCATTGTAATGCAGGAAGCACACAGCTAATTTGCAATTGCCAATTTGGCAATGACTAGATAAAACTATTTTAGTGTTATTTATTGAATGATAACTGTTGCTCATGACACTAGCGAGAACTCTCCTGCTGTGTGTCATGAAGTCATTTAGATTCACTTAGGAGGGCATAGGGAATCTTGATTGTACATCCCATTCAAAAGATAGACAGTACTACAGTTTTAACTTCTCTATTCAAGCTCTGGATTGGAACATGAACACACAATGCTGTTATGCCTCACATGGTAGAGCACTGGAAATCAACGTCCTTTTTTGCCCAGAGTTTCACAAAAGTTAAAAATTTTAAAAAGTACACAGAAACCCTAATTTACTCCTTAGCAGGGACCGGGTTTCTCTAGAGTCAGAGTTGTACAGCATGGAAACTGGCCCTTCGGTCCAACTCGTCCATGCTGACCAGATATCCTAAATTAATCTAGTCCTATTTGCCAGCATTAGGCCCATATCCCTGTAAACTCTTCTTATTCATGTACCCATCCAGCTGTCTTTTAAATGTTGTAACTGTACCAGCCTCCACCTTTGTTTTATTTGAGTCAGTTTGGTGATTTCTTCTTGATCGTCATACTCCAGGTACTTCCACTTATTTGCAGGTGGCACAGTGTGATTGGTTCACACTTATAAAGGTCTCTGACTTATTAATTAGAAATCGCAGTTTACTGCAATTGATATGGGAAAATAAACAGGCTTTCTCCAGGTTTGGGATGCTTCTTACTGCAGGGCAAAAATAGTTCCTTTCCCTCCCGAGGTTCGATACATTTTGAACTGATCATTCACCCCCTCCCCCCACCTCCAAGCAATTCAGCTAACTGGGAGCCAGCCACATAGCTGTTAGCAGGCAGGAGACTGTTTCCATCATTAAATGGTCACCATTTCACAGACTAATCAGCTATGTATTGCCGGACAAGTCTCCATTTGTACACAACCCCCTGATTCCAGCTCATCTGTAACTAGGTAACCCCCACTACTTGAACCAACAGCAGTGTAAACAACACTTGCAATGAATGTCAGGTCACTTGCTTTTAAAAAGTGCAATGGTCCTTCATAACTTCTTGGTCCTGAAAACAGTTCTCTTTCCATTTCAGTCCACAAACAAAAATATAGAAAATAAAGTAAAAAGATGCAGTCTTTACAAACTTCTGACACAGAATTGAAATTGCTTCCAATTGAGACAAGAAAGAAAGGAGAAATTAGGACAGGTGATGGGAAAATATATGTTGTTATGAGCACCTTGAAGTAGAGGAGTTGATGGACACCAATAGTAGAGAGTGTGTGTTTAAAATTAGGTATGCGCAATAGTGCATCAGGCATCTGAGAAGGTACCCTCGTTCATTACTGTAAAACAACACCATGTGAAGGTATCAATGTTTAGTCTCTCAACTATTTCCACTGTTCATTCGCAACGGTTCCAGAAAGCCAGTATTATTTGACTCTTTGAGACAGTCCTTGGAGTGGACAATAGCCAATGCCAAGCTGTAGGATCCAAGTACTGAATTGAACTCATAGGGTGGTGATCCAGGTCTCTGGAGTTCTTTGTACAATCTCATTTATAGCCTATCCTCCTTTGTAAAATATATGCCACCTCTGGAACCAGGATATTAATGTAAACAGGAGCATGCATACAGTGAATCTAACTGATTTGTACTAAGTTATACATTCCAATTTCAATTCCAACTTCTTAGTAAAGCAAGAACAACAGAATGTCACAGGAATGGGAGTAGGCCATTCAGCCCCTCCAGTGGATCCATCATTTACTTAGATTATAGCTGATCTGCAATTCAACTCCATTTATATGCTTTTGCTCCATAACCCTTGGCTAACAGAAATTGACCAATCTTGCAGAGGTGAAAGCACTACTTGACTTTATATGTACAAGCCTTTTGGAATGCTCTTGTGCACTAGTGCTAGTGTCTTGACCTGTGGGCCAGAAGTTTGGTTTTCAGGTGTCATCTAAGATGAACCTATGACATGACATGTACACATGCCTTCTGCGGAGACAGTACCAGATTTTAACAACCTCTGCAACCAGCCTTCAGAACTGACTTCTCCAAGGACCAGTATCATTCTGCTAACTCTGAACTCAAGTAAAAACTGAAAGAACTGGGGATGCTGTAAATCAGGAAGAAAAACAGAAGTTGCTGGAAAAGCTCAGCAGGTCTAGCAGCATCTGTGAAGAATAAAAATCAGAGTTCATGTTTCGGGTCCGAAAGCTGAAAGAACACCTCATTTTCCACTTGAGGACCGTGCAGTCCTCCAGACTCAATACTGAATTCAATAATTTTAGGGCCTAAGCTCTCCCATGTCCTTACCCCCTGCCCCACACACCTGGCCTTGTTATCACACAGCCTGCCATTACACACTACCTATTGTTAATCACTAACAGTCCCCATTTACAGCTATTCACCCTCCTATCCAGATTATCAACTCCTTTGCCCAACCAACTGCTCTTTTGTCTCTTTGGGCCCTATCCTTTATCCTATCATTTAATCCCTACCCCATCCTCCTCCCTATTTTCTGCATATAAACCGACGTTTTCCCAGCTACCATCAGTTCTTAGGAAGAGTCACCAGACCCAAAATGTTAACTTTGATTTTTTTTTTTCTTCACAGATGCTGCCAGACCTGCTGAGCTTATCCAGCAACTTTTGAGCTCAAGTACTTCCCTTAGATGAGGACGCGGTACACTAAATGGAGTCTGAACAGAAACTGCAGCACAACTGGCTAACTTTTGTATTCTAACCCATTCTCGTCAGTGACCGTGACACATTCAGAAGCTGGGGATGGACAGTGAGCAGCTGTCTCCATAAGCTTTATGCACTGGTGATTCGCAACCCATTCTGGACAAATTCAATAAAACATGCGCCTTATTGATGTGGGTGCAGGTGAAAGTCAC